TTTTTGGCTCTCGCTTATTATGTAAATTTTTAAGTTCACCATTTTGGCTGATTTATGTCGCTGGCGCTCTTGCAAAAATTTCATTAAACCTGCAATGCAGCCACTCAGCTTGATGAAGTCTCTTTGGTCGTATCTAGCGCTTTTATCTGCCCATAATGCCTGCCAATTGCATTTGCCAGGACCTAGCTTATCTGTCGCTCCTCCGACTTCCTTTTTGCTTTCCTTATCGGGCTGTAATAAATCAACTCATCCCGCTCATCTTTCTCCATTTTTTCTGCTTTTAACGTTAGACGCATGGCATCATCTTGTCAATGTCGCTGGCAGCGCTCCTTTTTCTATATATATATATCCGTCGAGTTCAGGCTTTTCGACACATCATTTTCTATGTTCTAGGTGACGACAGCGAATGACGAATTTCCCTTATTTCCAGCCGTCATTGATTGAGTTTTCCTCGCTTTATTTCTTTGCTCAGAAGTGCCATATCATCAACTTGAGTGGTTGGCAAAGAGTTCATAACTTTCTGCTGACACAGCCGACTTTCAAGCTGCATTTGTCAAATGTGGCAAGTTTGATTAGACTCTCAAAACTTGCCACCAACTTGGCAAGTTTTTTGAGGGCAATTAATTTCGCATACATTTCTAAGAAGACGATTGGCTTTGCATTATCATCATTTGTCTTAAATCAAACCAGAAACATAAATTATTTAAGCTTACTTTTTTTGCTTGGGATTTATGACCTCTTAATTATTGCTGCCTTGCAACAAAGACGTTTTGGTGTGGCCATAAATTCAATTTCGCAAACATGTGTGAGAATGGAAATTTAGCATAATCGCCTAATGAAGGTGTTGAATTGCTGGTCCTAGACTTGGATTTTCCTAATTAAGAAATTTCCCAGTACGGAGTGGTCAGCATTGATAAGATTCGGCTAGACAATGTACCCACGTTTTCAAACTAATTAGAGTTAGCAAAACCAATTAATGCCCTGCTTTTGGGTTCGTGCATATTAATTAGTTGACCCTAATCGCATTAGAGGAACTGGGTATTTCAGGCAGAACTCTGGTGGAAATCAATCAGTCGGACTAAGCGTGTCCTGCAAGTTTTATCAATGCTGGCTGGCTCTTGAAATGCCGATGCATTTTGCATGTCGTCGGCTATCCTTCTGGGTTCTGCATCCTGTCTGTGGCACTTGGCCTGCTCGTTTATTTAACACTGATTGCCAATGCACACAGAGATTTTGGCAGCACAGAGCTTTACTTTGGCCCCCAGCTGGAGACGACCTCAGCAAACTATGAACTCTGGGTATCCGATAACCTCTCGAACCAGAGTGCCGCCCTCTATTTGAAAATATTGTCTTTAAGCGCTTTTGTCAATTGCTTGCCAGAGTAGATCTGCTCTGCTTTTATCCTTATTCGAATGACATCTGCCGGGAGCGGCTCAAAACAGTTTCAATTAGTTGAAATCTTCCACAGATTCCGGAATAGAAATTCGTTTATTCAACCCCCATCAAAAGCCTTTAATTGACAGCCTGACATACGAGCAATGAACTTTGTTATGGGCTGAATCCCACATAATGGAGCACTTAAAGCAGTCGAGCTAAATTTAATGGTTATTCATTTCAATTTGCATGCGCAAATATTTTCCCAAAAATTTGCATGCCAACGCCTGCATAAATAGGAAAAAATATTTCGCCAACCGCAGAACATAAATTAAGTTAATTTATAGGCCAGGTGCGGAATAAATGTCCAAAAATAAAAACATTTATCAGATTAAAATTCAGTCCGCACAAAAACGTTGCATAATTTATGGGACGCAAACGATATCATCGTGTAGTTTACGTCGGGAAATTCCATTACATATTGATCACTCTTGACTAAGCACAAAAATCCATTTGGCCACAGGAAAAAAATGTCAACTGGAAAAGCAGAAGGTTGCTGGCTATTAAACGGAAACCTCTTCAGACGGTCGGAAAAAAGTAACTTTTCAATCAACTTGAGACGGGTTAGCGCCAAAGCCAAGGGGAAAAGGTTAAGAAAATGCTGGCTAAAAAAAGGGGGACTCGAATTACTGGCAATTTATAGAGCTTAAAATAGGGGACCCCGGCCAATTTAAAAAGGGTTCGGCAAAGGGGATCGTCTCCCATCTTTAAGAACATAACTCTGTACATCTGAGATGAAATAATTGAGGGAGGCTCACAGCGCAGACAAACAATTGCAAATTCACTCCGAATCACTTAGAGCTGGAGATGAGCATAATAATAATCATGATGCGGATCAATGGCACTCGGCAAATCAAACTAAAGTTGTTTGCTCGTTTGCTAGGCTTCCAGCCAATTGTTATGCAAATAGCCAAGTGCTTTTCCCACTCTCAAGCCTTAGGAGCACAAATTTTTAAAATATCCCACACTCTCCTCACAGTTGGGTAAATAGGAAATGGAAAAAAAGGCAAAAGGGTAGCAAAGTTCAACTGAGGCAAGCAAATGGGAAATGGAAAATGGAAAATGGCCGTGCAGATTGCAGGGGACCGCACTAAATCAATATGGTGGTGGTTCTGCATTATGTGGCCTCTTCCCTGGTCCAGGTCGTCCAAACACCGGAATCCTGGCCCCTCGTCCTTAGCCGTCTTGGGCCACAAATCAACATTTGACTTTTGCATAAATTGCAAGAGCAACAAAATTGCTGAAAAGAAGAAAAGTAATTTTCTCGCTTTCGTTTGCAGCTGCAAAATTGTGCACCACTGCTCCGCCAATCCCTCATTCCGCCCCATTGTTGATGATACTCCTCCGCCTTTTCCACCGCCATCTCAGGCAGCTCCAGTTGGCCGTTGATGCCTTTGGGATCGGGAGCTGGAGCTGAAGTTGAAGCTGAAGCTGGAGCGGACAGACTTCTGTGGTTCGGCTGGTTGAGCTACCTGCACATTCCGTTGTTTACCCTCGTTGCCCCTCATGTTAATAAGACGGGCGGCAATTTGTTTGCCACTCAACTGTGTACACAGATCGTACACAAAAAGAAACATTGTATAGGAATAAAGGATATTTAAATATTGTTTTAAAAGTATTTTTCCTTGGGTGACTTCCAAAAACTTTTAAGTTAAACATACTTGAATGTAACAACGTGTATGACTGAATAAAGTTTTTTTCAATTAAAAAAAATCTATAAATAATCTATAAGTTTATCCAACAAAAATCATAATCTATTTCTTGCAACTAAATCGAATGAATATTAAATCATCAGAGAATTTTATTTCACCATACTTTCAAATCATTTTTTGGAAAGTATATCAATGTCTATATTTTACAACTTAAAAGAAGAACACTAACTGAATTTAAAACCTTCTGAAGGTTTTAATTACAAATTCTTAACTTACCTTTTATTTTTTTTTGTTATGTCCAGAAAACAAAAGCTTGTTTATTACTTTTCAGTGTGTACTTGCTCATCCATTCGTATATGTATATAGTTGGCATTTTCCCATAGAAATTGCTGTTCTTTCATTTCTTGGGAAAACTGCCAATGCATCCGACTTAATGCGTATATGGTTCGATTTGCATTTCATTACCTGTTCGAGTTGATTGCAAAAAATTGCAAAGAAAATGGAATGTAAGCTGCCGGTAGAAGTATACCTAAGGGTTATTTTTTCCGTAACGGGTGCTCATCACCCCACCGGAGAAAAAAATGAAAAAAAAATGTAAAATTCGGTTGACGTGGAATCGGGGTAACCGGAGTCCAACGATGCCAAACAAAACTCAACACAATCTGTGCCAAAAGCCGTTGCAAATCGAGCTGAATCAAGCTGAATCGATGTGCGAATGGGCAAGGACACCAACAACAACAACAACAACAACAAAGACACGGCAGCAAGGACAAACAGAAACAGGAAATGGACGTTGTGTGCTCAAGTTTGTTTCCGCTTTCTTTCTTTTGAAATTCAATGCTACGCTTTTTGTTGATCTCGTGCAGGAAAAACGCATTGTAACGTGGTGTGTGTGGATGTGTGAGGATATCCAAGGATGTGTATGTGCCAGGGCCGGGGTGGGTGTGTCACTGTCCAGAGCAACTCTTTGTCGTTGCCGCTGCAAATGCAAATTTGTTCAAAGTTTATTGAGTGCACGTGACGGCAAACAAAAGTGCCAAGTTTCCCCTCCTGGGCTCGCTGTTTTTATAGTTTCCTCCCTCCTTCTACCCAAAATTTTGAATTGCAAATTTCTTGGCCAACTTAAACATACTTTAAACATACCTTTTTATATGTCTGTAAGTCGCCTTAATGAGTGTAATTTGAATAAATGGGCTACCAGCTTATATGCTAATTTTTCTACCAATTTAATTACGGTCCTGGGTCAGGTGAGAAGTAAAATAAGGGTCTAAAGTTTTGTTTCAACAATTTTAACTTACAAATTTATGTGTTGCAATTAACATTTTAAATTTCCTTAAGTTATAATAATTATAAAAGTGATGGCCATGTTTTAAATCTAATCAAAGAGGTGGCATTAGCTTGAAAAACTTATTTTTTTGTTTAATCCATTGGAAACTTCTACCAGTATGTCAACGTCGTATCTAAAATATATTTTGAATGGCAGCGTTCTAAGGAGCACCCTCTCGCAGCTAAAAGCATGTTCATCGGAAACAGAAATATCGTTTTTCTCGAAACGGCGTTCCATTTATATCTCAACAATAAATTAAAATTAAGTTGAATACATTTCTTATTATGCCCAAAAACTTTCTCTAAAAAAATTTAAAAATAAATTTCCTAATTTTTAATTGGTCACACTGATAGAGCCCCTTACACTTTAAGAGTTTTCTAGTAATTACATTTAAAAGGAATTATTTAATGAATTTGTATATAAAAATCTCAAAAACCTCCAAACCAGCCCTTAAAACACAAAAACTAAAAAATATCATTCTGTTACATTAAAGAGACCTTGCCAAATAAAATATGAAACTTTTACATATCAGCTTAACTAAAAATAATCAAAAGTAACAACCAGCAAATCTATTTGCATCATTGCAGGCCAAACGCAAACCAAAAAGACCAGAGCAATCCCCAGATTAAAAGAGATAGAGGGATTGATGGAGAGAGATAGGAATAGAGATAGAGGAAGACCAAACCTAGCCCCGAAAATCGATAAAATGGTAAGTACCCGCCCAGTCGCATTTCTTTTTTGGCTGCTTGCTTATTGCAAATGCTTTTATAAATTTTATGACTCAATACTTCCATTGTGGCAATGGACGATGACAACGACAAGAACGACAACGACGACATTTAACCTACAGACTTTTGTGCCAGCACTGAAAAGATGGCATTGCAATATTATGCGCCATCCAGCGCATCTAACCGACTATAATTTTAAAGCCACAAAATCCGAGGAATGGGTTGCGGTTCTATTGTGGAGAGTAGAAGGCATAGAACGGGGGCCAGACTGTCTGCCAAAGTGAATTTGTGGCTCTGAATCCAAATTGCGCACAAGTCGAGCTTGAGTTTGCAAAGGAGAAAAAAGAAAAACCGAATCGGGCAAGTGGAAAATCGAAAAAATTCTAGTCGATTCAGCTTGCCCTTTTTTTCTGGATTTTAGTAACAAAGTAAAGCTAACGTGTAATGCCATGTATACAAGTTGGTTAAGTTGCAGTAAAGTTGACAAATTCAGCTTTATTTTTCTTTAATTCGAAAAGCACTCGATATTTTATTGGAAGAGCAATTCCGTAATTTCCCAATTACTTTGGAAAATGCCACCTCAATTGCCCTTTTAAGCATGGCTAAATTTCTATTTCAACGGCTATTTTTATCAAATTTAATTACTCACATACCTGGCTGTATACTTCTCCAGCAAATGTCAAAAGTTTTGTAATTCAATTGATGTTGCTGCCCCAGGCGGAAGTTGAAATTTCAATCAGCTGGAGCACAAAACGAAAATAATCTGCAATAAAAATGTTTTCCTTTAATAAAAATTCAATTTCCTTCAAGCGACACATGTTGCCGACTTGGGAACAGGAAGCAGGACTAGGGATAGCCGAATCGCGCAGGGAGGGGACTGTAGCTGAGGAGCCCGAAGCTGGATCCAGCTGAACTGTCTGCCGGATGCATTTAGGTAAAGGCATCGCAACGCATCAGCCAACCTCAGAATGAGACGGACCACAAGGATGCTGCTCGGCTAAGCCCGCGGCATCCACCAAGTCAAGGGGGGAAGTGGATCAACCTCTCCTAACCTTCAACCCACTTGCCGCCCTTTCGGAACGGAGAACGCGACTAGAAATGTCTTTCAATTTATAATGACAAAGTCGATGTGAGTCCTCCCACGTCTCCACTCCTCTACCATTCGGGTCTTGTCTGTTGCATTCGCAATTCCGCATTAGAAACGGAAATGCTGCGCACAGTGGTGCGATTTCTATATGTATTGAAAGAATTTTACTGGAAAAATGACATTAGGTTTTTGAAATACCATGTAACGGTGTCTAGACATATGCAATATACATATATTATATTTTTAGACCGGAATTTCGATAGATTCATTACGAAAGGCGATGTTCATATTATTCATTGCATACTTTTAGGCACTTTAATAAACTATTTTAAAACCTTAGTGATTTCTGTACCAGCCGCTATATTAGAATTTGCTTGTAGCAAAAATAGTTTTAGTTAATTTGCAACAAGACTTTGACCAGTATAAGCACTATAAATATTTTTATGAGTTTCTCTTTGCCCAAAAAAATCTATGAAATATTTATTCAAACCCCGACTCCAGATTTTGTGGATACGCAAGCTTATGTTTATCCTTCTTAAGATCGCTAAACAATTGTTATAATTTGAAATTTACAACATACTGACTCCCAGTGTGCCACAACAGCTATAACGTTGGCTGAAGTCCCCTCATCATCTCGACCTCTTCCTTATTCTATCGTTGTTGAGCTCGCAAACTTTGCGGAAATGCGTCTCACATTTTGCCATCGGAGATCGAGGGGCGTGATGAAGGGGCACAGGCAGATGCTTCGTCAATGGCAGCGACAGCAGCCAGGGCAACCAACACGTCGATGATTGCACATGGCTTAAAGACCTCCGGAGCCTCCGGACCCGGCCACGCCCACTCCTACTGCCACTGCCACTGCCACCGCCCTCGCATCGTTTTCTCGCATTAAAAATACAACGTCGGCAGATACATCAATTGAAAATGAGGCAAGGAAAGGCAAAAGGCGAGTCGCATCTGCGGCGGACAGCAGAGAACAGGAATCAGGAATCGGGCAAAAGGGGTGATACACGGACGAGTGGGGATAAGGGTTATGGGATAGTAACTCGTACTTCCCGGACAGGTTGGTTGGCCACTGGATGGGAATGGGAATGGAAACGGTGGGATATGGAGATGGGCATGATGGGCCAATGTTTGCCTGGGCATGACAGCAACTAAGCTGCAGCTGAGCGGGATTTGATGCCTCGAACGCATCTGTTGCTCCAGAAGATTCTTAAGTTTTCAATTTGCTAGATTAACTCTGAGTAGAGAAGACATCGATTATGCTAGGCGATTTCTGAAATATAATGGATTAGAAATGGGATTTTCTACGCTGCCTGGTTTTTGTGTATTTATATATGGCACACAAAAAGGGTTACTCAAATTTAAAATAAATGTAATGTAAGGTATTTAAGAGCCAACTGGCAGCTCCTTGGGAACAAAATTCATAGGTTTAGGTTAGATGTAGTAGGGGAAACTTAAGTACACAACTTCTCGAAATTATATTCCATAAATACAGAAAATTTCCTCCTCAGTTGTGTTATCCTCTTCAACAAAGTTCACAATTTCTGTGAAATCATGAGCCATTTTCCTTGGCCCGTCATCGTTGCGATAACTCAATTCCGTGGCGTAAATTTGCTGAGGCTGCAGATTATCTGCAGAATGCTCAATCTAAGGCAGCATCTGTCAGGCGGAGACAGCTCGGCCATATGTGTCGGCCATACATCACGTACATATGCTCGTATGCGTAACATCCACACCCCTCGGCAAGAGTAAACAAATAGCGCAATTTTCATTTGCTTTATCGCTTAGAGAGAATGGAAACGAGAGGGTCCAATCATCTGAGCCCTAATACGTTTAGGCTGCTCATAATCACGCTTCAGCTATTCGAGATGAATTGGTGGAAATCGAAAGGGGGTCGGGGCTCTGAAGCAAAAATCCTTGGATAGTTCGCCCCATTGTTCTTATCGCATTATAAGATTTTTATTTGCTTTGGGGCTAAGACTGCTCGGGTTCTTCTTCTTCTTCTGCTGTTCTTCCCACTGGCTTTTTTATAAGCGCTATTTGTCTTAGTGTCCCGCCAAACTAATAACTTTGCCGTTGTCCCGCCATCGAGCGATTTTCCTTCTTTCCTATTTTCTTTTATCTTCCTGTGTTGCACTTGACGCTTGGCTAGCCGCAGTAATTCCCTGCACGTAGAGAACACTGGCAATGAACGGTTTTTAGCCGAAAACATTAATAGACAAGCCTTACAAAAATATAAACGATATTTCTAATTTATAAAGAATTATAGCTTGAGCAACAAAATATTTTGCAAGCCAGTTTACAATTTTTGTTACTCAAATTTAAGGTTAATTTTATTTACATCATATCAATAATAACATATCTTCATCAATTAAATTCCCTGTGCCTTAAAAATATTTATAAAGGTATCTAGAAGTATGCATTGAAATAAATCTTTCGAAATAAATCCATCGAGCTGAAAAACTCAAAATATATTGTTATTTTTAAGAATCACCTTGTTAAGAGAAAACTCACCCCTATATGTTGGTTAATTTGTTTAAGTGTACTCAAGAACATCCATCTTCCTATGCTTCGTCGGCAACTCCTTTTGGGATACTTCCTGGCCTTTATCGGGCGGCCACTTCCGCTCCACGTACACAAATCACACGTCCCGCAGGAGTCCGGCGCTGGCTTCCGACTATTTAAATTGACATCCTGCTGCAGGTGACTGCTTCCTGGCTTCCTATCGCCACCTAGCCCCAATTCAATTTGCAAAATCATTAACACATTTAGCCAATAAGCTCTTGTCGATGCTCTTGAGACGTTTGCCTCCTCCTTCGGGGATTATTATTCATTTTTATGTAATTATCTGCTTACCCCAAGGACGGGGACAGGGTCGCAAAAGAACATCAAGGAAATAAACAGGCTTCTTTATGCCCACGTTTTTTTCTACTTGTTCTTGTTATAATAATCTCAACGGAGCATTTGAGATTTTCCGCACACAAAATTGTCTTTAACTGGCATTGGATAAAAGCATCCTGTTGTCCAGGTCCATGTAATAGCCATGAATTATGGCCGCAACGTGTGAGCTCCTGTAGTTACACTTCAGAGCGGTTTCTTATGGTCCAGTTGGGTCTAAGCAAAGAACAAGTGTAGTTACTGGAGGAGAACAGTGAAGCCCTTAGTAAGTATTTTATAGAAAATTTTGTTTTTGCCTCTAATATATCTAATGTTTGTAATCTTTAAAAACAAATAAGGATTTTGAAAAAATTTTCTAAAAACGAAACAAAAAAATTTAATTGTCTACGAACAAATAAAGTAGACATTTAAATTTATTTATTCACAAACAGTAAGCATAAAATTACTACAGCGAGGAATAGCAGCCATAGCTACTTTTGGTTTGGCAAGAAATTTGAATAAGGCATTAGCATTTTGAATAAAAAAACTTTAATAACAATTAGTTTTTCTTGTAAATATATTTAACTTAAAAATAAACACTATTTCACCAAAAATAAATAATTTATAATATTAATATCTAATAAAGAAATTTAAAGATGCTATATTTTAATTGATTTCTCGGTTGTTCAATATATAAGTAACCAAAAAAAAATATTTTTTACGGCCCTTTAGATACATGTTTTTACTTGAAGGGCACAGTTGAATATAAGTAAGCTGCATTTTCTTAAAGTCCAACTCTTACTTACTTATCAAAACACGTATTACGATGAAGTCCTTTTTAGTACCACTGTTTGGGTTTCATCATCAGGAGCAGCTGCAGCATCAAAAAAGGGACGAACCATTTAAGTTTATGTGGCCGAGTGTGCCAGTGTGTGCCTACGCTACTCTCGAACGAATGTGTATGTGTGTGTGTTAGTTTCATAATGTAACCGGATGTGCCAACACAATGCTCGC